AATATTATTATAAGGTGGCGTTCGAAAATCGATTATTATTATTATGAATAAGTGCAGTAGGTAGGTACTCACCGAATCGTTATTTTAACAATGAGTATCAACCACATTAATTCAAAAAGTTAAATAAGTACTTATTGAAAATATTTTTTATCGTTATCGTTTTTAATTTTTAAGTTATCTACTCTTTTGAACGACTACTTACGTGTGTAGTTTCATATTGCTACCTAATCAGAATATTTTCTAAGAATTTTGATATCTAAAAATCGAATTTCGATTGATTAGTTTATAGTTATAACTACTTATAATCGATAAGTATTTATAGTTTTGGATGAGCGGCTCTGAGGTATCCCGCTATATTATGTCTGTCCACCACTCTGCTTATCTAAAATTGTATTTGTAACTAATTAAATACTATCGATCGTTAAAAATTCTCAGAAAAAATATTATATGGTTATCATATTGTAACGGTATATGTTATCAACAAAAAGTAAAACTGAAAAAATGATAACATATAAAAAATCCTGTTCTATCATGATATTGAACTATGTATTTAAAAAGTATATTTCCTAAAACAATCATCATTTTTGAAATAACGAATGTTCACTGAATCACCCTGTATACGCGTACATGTATTAACGTAATACTGACTGTAAAATCCGGAAATCTAAAATGTATTTATTCTGCGGATGACGAGTAAATAATACTACAGCTAGTAAGCTACTGTAAACTACATAAATATTAAATAATACAATTTTGCTGGTACGTGTTACAATAATGAGCATAATATAATATAATACATAATATAGTATGTCAGTATGTGCAAATTAAATAATAATTACTTTTGCGATTTAGATTATATATTTTGTGTGCGAGTAATGAGTAGATTATTAATTGGGTATACCTACTAATTTATGGTATGAAAACCATCGAAACAGAAATAAAATGTAATGTTAACGATATACGACGCATAAATGTTTAATATTCATAAACGTCGTGAAGCACTCAAATACGAGTTGAAAACAAATTTACGAATAGGTAACTACTACCTATATATATATTATTCGCTATGTAGACGTGTGCGTCGAAACTGTTACAGCAATATGACAAGTTGCGTTTAATGTAAGACATGATATTAAATAGTTTAAATCATTCTACACATTCTACACCGTCTTCTTGGTACCGCAGCATCGGTTTAATTGATGTGAACATGTTTCATAATCGAATAAGACAATAATGTATAATAATAAATGAAGGCACCTGTCTAGAAATGAGATTGTTTGTTGAAAACATTTATATTGTCACCTAAGAATCGATATTCATATGATATAATACGTACTTGTAAGTTATAATAATATATTATACCTGTATTGAAGACATCTACGCGTGACCTATTTTTATAGGTCAGGTCAAGAAAACCGTGTTACGAAAGGAAAAGTGGAACACGGCCCTTGCGACATTTGGTGCAGACGATACTTTTATTTACATTTTTTAAACGACAATAATATAATCGTATAAGGGTACTATATATAATATATTATGAGGTATGTTATAGCCATATATAGGTATATGCAGTTGGACGGTTGTTAAAATATCAACACGAAAAAATCCTGGAATGAGCGTTCTGTATAAGCTCTACACATATATGGATATACTCTGTCGTCAGCGTATGTGCAGTATATGATATTATACTATTATTTGATTACACTCGATAACGAAGGTATAATAATATGCAATAATAGACCGGTGGCCGGTTGGTCATCAAACGGGTAAATAGAAATAAAAAATACACATTACAAATCCGCGAATAACACTATAGAAAACACGTATAGGCTATATACACTCGCCTGTACACTAGCACCATTATAATTACAGTCAATTATTTTGCGAGCGTTTCCTGATCGGATTTCCGAAAACTATTATTCGGCCCTTGTGAATTTATATTATATAGGTAGGTACACAGTATAAAATTCCGTCGCATAGGTCGTGTACAAAGTTGTACAAAGTTGGACCGAGTACGGGGTTGTACATCTGCCGTAAGGTAGGTATATTATATATATATATATCACGTAATAGTTGGCAGCACACGGTCTCTAGAAAATCGGGGGCGCGGAAACGAAAAGGTATAAAAGAAAAAAAAAATTGAACTTAATCGAAAATTCACCATCCGCCCTGCGCTCGCGATTCTTTGACCTACTTATTTTCGCGAGTTCATATTATTGTGTACCCTTTGCCGCGGCGGCGCGACGGCGGTTGCTTACGAAGGGACCTGACGACGACCTTGACGGACGACCCGCTCCTCCGCGATGACCTACAAACGGGCGCGAAAACTTTGGGCGAAAAAAAAATACTCGAACGGTTCCGAAAAAAAATTCCCTCCCAAAAATCGAACGGTATACATAGCGTGCTGTACGCATAATATATAACGTAATATATTTAAATCACATTCAAAAAAATAGACTTACTGTCGTGTGCTGTGTCGGCGGCGGCGGCGGCGAGACGTCTCACGTAACCATTATTGCGAAATGCTCTTTTCGCGCGCTCCGCGGGATCGCCCGCGAACGATCGGGCGACTTGACAGGCCGGCGTCAAGTCGCTCACTCGGTGGCAGCGGCGGCGGCGGCGGCGGCGCGTCCGTAACAAAAGTAGGTCACTCGCCGCCGCCGCGCAGAACATGCACACGCGCGCTATCGCGACGTCCGACACACACACGCGCGCACACGCACACACACACACTCCCAACAGGCAGCGCTTCTATAGCAGCGGCGGCGGCGGCCGATCACTTTCACTGAGCCGCCGCCCGTGTGACGTGTGTTATATAGCATATAATATAATATTATATTATAATAATATATAAATAATAATATGTACGACGTGCGGTATTGTGTGGGCATATTGTGATGATAATAACGGCGGGAAAAGCTCGCGCAGAGTCTGTTGGAAATTCACCCGGAACGAAAACGTGAAAAAAAAGGGTAACATTTGCATCCACCGCCGCCGAGGACGTCCGCGGGTCTACCCCTGGCGTCGAGGCCGAGTCGTGCGCGTTATCATTACATATAATGTGTATCAAAAGTGTTACAGTTTCACGCAACAGGTTATAATAATATATATTATTACATATATTATTGTTATGATGCTATACGTTGTTATCGATTCGGAACGGAACCGAACGGACCGGACCAAAAAAAATGTTCACACTTATACTTTATAGTTGGGAGAGGCACGTCGCAACGGAGCGGAATCCAATCGAATTAATGATATAGAACAATATGAAATATTATCTATTGAAGGATTCCGAAACTTTTTACGTACACTTATTATACGTATTTATTGTCAATAGAGCCCGTGGCTCTAAATTCTAATCTATTTGAACTTTCTGTTGTTTCTTACCGCGTATCGCGAGTGTGTACACTATGCGAAAATAATTTTTATTGTATCGAATGGTTATAAAAATACTAACTTGTTTGTATTTTAAGTTGAAATTGTAAAAACGTAACAACTACACAAACTGTTACAATAATACTCTGAACTCTGAAGTACACAAACGCTACTGAAATATATTTTATAACAACCTGCGGCAACTAAAAACTAAAACGTCCTAATAAAAGCCTTTAACTATAAAGTTCTAATTTTAGTCTTGCAATATTCCGAATTATTTCCGATATTCTGAGGATACAATTTGTGTCAACTGTTCCGATTGAAAAGTTTCGATTGCGTCTGTTCCAAACCACCATGTGCGAAAATCTTTATGCGTCAGCTAACCACAATACGAGAACATCAAGATTCAATATGTTAATATTGTGTATCGCGATAAACATATCTAATAAATCGACTGTATCATATTGTTCATGCGGTTTTACGGTAGCCGAATTTGACACCCAGGGGTGAGTCTAGAGAAGGGGGGTGCAGGAGGTCAGCTGACCCACAGTTAATATTTGCTGATCAAATTGGCCTCTTTTCAGATCTTGGGTAGTTGGACACTTGGACCCTCGAATAAGCACACATACAGTATAAATTAATTTTTTTGTTTTATTACCTACCTTGTATACACAAGTATAGATTTTAATCTGGTTTCAATAAGTGGCCCCTTGAAATGTCCTGACCCACAGTTTCCTAACTCTGGATCCGCCCCTGTCGATACCTATAGTTATGTACTGTTCGGCCAACAACGCGTAATATTTATTCGATTTCTTACATAGAAATACGCTGCACCCCGAAAACCTGCGCAGACCCAGAACCTATCGTACCCTTATAATAAAATATTACATAATAGACTTATACCTAGGTATTATACTATATGGTAATCACGCCGAGTGCGCCGAGGGGGGTTTCAAAGAGAACAACGGCGCGGTAAGCCCGCCAAAAACAAGAGAATGGGAAGAAGATTTTGAGAAATGTCAATATGCAAAATCACGTATATAGGTACTGATTTTATAGATCGATCGTGAACACCTCTACGACCTACCACAATCTATTTTATAAACCACAAATACACTGAATGCGATAATCTTTAGGTTCTCGAAACTGATTCTGCCTAGTCCTATAATTATACATAAGGTTATATAATATACGTGTATAAGTACCTATATACCTTAGGTATATCATATCCTACAGCGGAGTCTCGATAACTCGAATAACAAGGGGAATCAAAATAAATTCGACTCATGCATACTGTTAAGAGTGTATACTGTATATATTATATATATACCTATCAAACGCGATTCAAAAACAATTCAAGGATAGTAAGAATAAATTTCGATATTTTCGAGTTATCGAGGCTCGATACTGTATATTATAATATTATATAAGTACCTGTATTACAATATTAACAAGTGACAGTATTACCTACCTGCTACGCAACAATATTATACAGAAGCACGCGCGCGCACTCGGTTTTTATCGCATCCTACGCGCGTCATTACCACGGTATCGCGCATAGCGTTCATAATACATTATATTATGTTCTGTTCAGGTATATGGTTATATAGTCAGGTACTTACCAGTCGGTTCAGAGACGGCATGATGGCGCAAAGCAGCTTGTTGGCATGATCGCCGTCCGGTGGCTACTGAGCTGCTGTCACGCCAGTCGGTTCGGCGAGCGCTCGAGCGCGCGCGGGGGGGACACCCGGAGACGTGTGAAAGTGACTTTCACTCGGTCTCGGCTGTCCGGTTCGAGGGCATCCGAAATCGTTGTTTCCGAAACCGCGGCCATACCGAACGCACACAAATAACGACTTGTTATTATAATATTATAATATGGATATCGCGCATCTGCGGGTATATTATAATATTTTGGTGCTATGCGTAGTCATAGTACACGTGCGCTGCATGTTCTAATCGGCAGTATATCGAGCCGGTGATCTATGATGATGCGATATCTGCCGAGGGGTGGTGATTTTTGTTTTTCTTCTCCCCGCAATCCTCGAGTCCGATAAGACTCGCCCATATACATATTATGCACGCACTGCGGCCACCTGTCGAAGTCGTGATCTGCGGGCGCGGTACGTTTCTGGACAAGCAACAAAAAAAGCCCGGGAAAATCGTTATTTTTTAAAGAAAACACATTTTTTTTTTGTTAATCTCGGGAATAACTTGCCTTTAATTTTTTTGTTTCGTCATCTGATATACCTACCTACATGTTAAAATATAATTATAAAAACGATGTAGGTACTCGGGACTTCGGGAGTCGTGATTCAATATATTAAAATATCATTATTTGTATCATTACCTACTCTTTGTAAATTATTGATAAAATTATATCACCCAAGGATTGTTAAAATGCATCCCCCCCCCCCCCCCCCCCCCCGAAAAAAATGCCTCAGCACTAACTTTAGATGACCATTATCAGGAAAAATTAAAAAAATTATTATGATATTTCAGCTGATGATTTACCTTCTACGCTTGTTTTTGACATTTGACGGACGATATTAAGTACCTATATAATATTGTCTACCTCGGCGGTGTAGGTACCTACATTATAATATTATATTATACTGTGAAACTTCCATAATATAACAAACTCCCGTTTAACAAGATTTTCTATTTGGCGAAATATTTTTCTGAACCAAACCAAATTAGAACCAAATTAATTTCATTCCGTTTAACGCAAATTTCTCTATAATACGGTTCGTTTTTTTTATTTTGCTACCCATCGTGACACGCTATACGTGTATATTCGTAACCTGGGAGATTTACTGTATTACAATTTTATAATGTTCGCGCGAGCCGAGGTCCGGAGCGGAGAAAGTGCCATTTCGCGACATTGAGAGTAAAAGTGAAACGGTACATAACGGTTGGTTTGTACCGTTAGATTTTGTACGATGATAGTAATAATAGTAATAGTAGTAATAATAATACACGCGAATGGACACTGTCGTGGTTCGAGTTTTCTATTTCGGCGGGAGACGCGCTGCAACTGGTATTTCCCACCCGCACCCGCTCCAGAGCGCGATAAAAAAAAGACATTTAAATATATTATAACATAAGTAAAAAACAAAACCGAAGTTGTTCCGAGGGGGGAAATCGTCGTAAACGCATTGTGCGGGCGACCAAGAGCGAATAATATTGTAAATGTCGTGGCAGGTATATATAGTTGCAGTGCTCGTTATTTTTTTATACAATGCGATGGTCCTGTGGGTGGGACTTTGATACTCTGTTCGGGATGATATTATTATTATTGTAGTTTACAGAGCCGTTAAGACACCGCCGCCGCCGCCGCCTCGTCGTCGTCGTTCGTGTGTTAACACGATTTTTTATAATATATTTTTTCTTCGTAGGTTTTGTTAATTTTTTTTTTTTTTGATACCCGCACGGTTATCATTATTTTACGAGACACAAAATATACACCACACACACGTCATATGAAATAAAATGTATATTACACACACACACACACACACACACCACTTTCTAAGAGCGTTCAGTTCTCCGCTTACGTACAAAAGGTGCGGGTTATCGGTGCACACATTACTCTACAGACGTATTTTTATCGTATATTATAATAATATGACCAACACTCGGGCCATCCATTTATATTATACGATATGCCCACAACAACTATAATAATAATATAATCGTTAATCTCGGATAGCATAATGGCGATAATATTATGCGCGCAGTAGTGTATATTAAGTTTTTGGTTTTTTTTCCTATCGGACAAGTAGGCATATTATATATTATTATGATGCGTTTTTATATTTTATTTTATCCATCGCTCGGCCGTTAATTAATTTAAAACCACTTAGAACTACTGATTTTAGTTTAGAACAACAGACGATTTGTGTCTAATGTAGTAATGTATATTATACATTTATTATACACGCACACACGCACACACACACATACACATAAAATATTATCGAAAACTTTCTATCGTTGCAGCGTTATGTATACCTACATGATTCCTCGATGCTGCATTAATTGCCCACGCTGTTTTTCTGAATGAAATCGATTTTTAATTGTATAAATTAAAACAAAAAAACATATAAAACTAATATTTATTGAAGGGTAATCATAAATAATACAAAATGTGCATGATATCGGTTCATACATTGCAGCTGTATTTATAGCATACGCACGTACAATAATATGCGACACACGCACCTTTATATCTCGGATACAGTAGAATAGAGCTACATAACAGTCTATCTACCCATATTATGTTATTTGTTTTTCACCTGTAGGATTTCTGTTATACGCCTAGATTTAAATTATGCGTTTTATATTTTATTTTCTCCATCGCTCATTCGATAAATTCATTTAATGCCACTTTAAACCACTAATTTTAGTTAAAAATAACTTTATTTGTGTTTAACGTCTTATATCATATCGTTATATACCATATAAATATTATCAAAAACTTTCTATAGTTGTGTTATGTATGAATCCTCGCAATGCTGCAGTTAATGTCCGCTCGTATTACGTTTTTCTGAATGTAATCGATTTTTAATTGTATAAAATAATATAACAAACAAAAAAAACATCTAAAACTAATATTTATCGAAGGGTAAGTCATAAATAATACAAAATAATAATATTATGTAAGTACCTATATGTGTATTCATATAAAATAGGTCATCTATCAGTCAGTATATAATGTGACGCGTCACGCGTGTACCTACCTACGTGTATTTGAGTAATTAACAAAAATTACTTTCAATCATAAATCATATGATAAATTATAGCATATTTTATTGATTAGAGATAGCAACGTATATTATGTACATAAAATGTGTCGGTGCATCTATACTAAAATATTATTGTATTTATTATACGCCACGTGAGGTCTGCAAAGGCCTTAAAAGTGGGCCGTGCCCAAATTTTTGTCAAATAATTTATAATGATAATTTATATTTTACAGGCGTAGTAGTAATAATAACCAAGTAAAACATTTTAAGGAATATAAATTATATTGCTATGTTTTTATGAAAAATATTATTTGGTTATTATAATTCTATATACCAACAATAGCCAATAGGTACTTTTATCAATTTACATTTTGTATATTCGAGTAGATGTATCATACGCCCGTAAAAAGTTATTTTTGAAAAATTAATTTTAAAATTTTCAAGAATGATATTACAAACTGAATAATTTTAATTCGTAATACTATTATAAAAATAGTAATTTGGGCTATAGGTAGGTACATGATTTAAAAACAAAGTTGCGGTTTTAGAATGTTTACAAATTTACAATGAAATAATATTATATATTTCTATACAATATTATTTATTTATTATTTTGAAGTTGTCTTCAAACATTCTTTTTAGTTTTTTAATTTATATTATTTTATTTGATAATAATTATTGTTATTATATAATATATAATATTAATTGTATTCATATTATATTGAACACGTTTAAACATGAAACTGCAATACCTATATATTGGCTATTGTATTATTCAAGTGTACTCTAATGGATACCACAGGGCACATATTATATACATGTACATTGTACTATACAATGTAGGTACTCATGTACGGGTATATATGTACACATGATGTAAATAATAATAAATTTATACCCGGATATTGGCATTATAAGAGTACTTTCTAGATTATCGATCCAAAATTAAAGTGTTTGGTGGTAAAATATAACATACATTTAGGTCGGTTCAAAATTACAAGACCCATTAGGACTCACCACACTTAATATTTCAATACCTATTATTATTAACATACCATTATTCAAATTGAATAATTATTAAACAAATATACCTATATTTATATTTCATACTACTATCACTTACCACACACGTTTATTGATATAATATACATAAATATATAATATATATTATTAAAAATTAGGATTAAACTCTAGATATTACGCGACCTTCGACATCTACTCACTGATTCATTCACTAACTCATTAGTTCTTATATTTTATGTGATCGATTTTGTTTAAATCGTCTTTTTTTCATTTAAAGTCTTACATTTTCCTACAATAATGCTCTTTCTAACAAAAACGTTTCCTTAATAAAAGCCAACCTTAATTGTTTACATTGGCTTAAAAATGTAACTTTATGAGCTTTACACTTGTTATTTTCGTTTCGGTCATTACTATATAACCGTTTTCTTGTTTTACACTGTTATTATAGTTGAGATACAATAATTTATGTTTGAATCTTATTCAATAAAATGAAATTGTTTAAAAAAATTCCAGACATTTATTTGTCGTTCATTTGTATAATATTATTATGTATTTTTGAAAAACGTCCATTTCATAATTTCATACAACTTACGTAGTTTTTACGAGGTTCAAGAATATCACTGCAGTATATCTACAGTATACCTAAACATTATAAAACACTTATACACCAGCAGTTGGATTTTAAACTATGTATTATTATATTCTTGTAAACTAATAACCTTAGTTTTTGATGCTATACCAAGATTATAAAAAAAGAAAAACTTTATAGGTATATAACTTAATACATATATTATTTTATGCTTGCATAAAGTTATACGTATGTATAATACGGTGCAGTTGGATATTTTCTTGTCGTAAGTAAAGTAAAATAA